TATAAATACAATTCTATTTTGAAATCTGGCAATTACAGATTGTTGAAAGCAGTCCAAATCGTTTCGAATATTACCTAAAATTATCAATAAGAATTTTTTAATTTTTGAAAGTCTTCAATACTTTAAAAATGTCTTTTTTATTTTTACGTTATTTTTTTCTCTCAACATTTCTTCAATTTGTACGTAGACAAATAAATACAATTCTATCTTTAAATATTTTAAATGTGTCTCGGATATTCAAACATTTTGAAGGAAAAACTTTAAATTTTAAATTTTTAAAAGCATCAAGACACATTTAAAAAAACTTTTACATTTTTCAATACTTCTACATATTTGCAGTACTTTAGATTTCTGTACGATCAAGTCGTTTAAAAGTTTTCAAAAAATGAATTTAAATACCTACGACTAATACGATAACACTTCTATAATCGATTACAAAATAATAATATTTAGTATTTTGTAAAAGTGATGTGACAGTATATTTTTAATAAATAATTTGAAAAATGTAGAATATATTTTTTATTAACCTGCAAATATTAAATATTAAATATAATCCATATATTAACAATCATATGAATATATGAGTCCTTTTCTACATTTTAAAAGATTTTTAATTCATTCTTGTGCAACATATTTCTACTCATAAAAATATTTTATGGACCTGCCAAAAATTATTCTTCTCCCTTTCCTGATGAAGCGATCGTGTCGTTCGACATAACACAATTGAAGCGGATTTCTCAAGACGTTTTCGTTGCGCACAGGAGCGCGGATAAAAGATCCTTTCTTACTCGCCAAGGATCAACCACCTTAAAAGCGTCCTGAGCAGGGATGCTTCTTGACGTTGATGCAACCTCCTCGACTCTCGAGTCTGACGTTCTTTTTCATTATTCATATCGTGCCCCCAGCACGCAGCGTTCCTCTTTGCCTCGTCTTACATCGAAAGCAAAACGCGACGTCGTGTGAATCCGCTCAAGCGTAAATATCGTGGTGAATTTCATATGAGACAAGTTGAAAGCTCACGAAAAGCGCTTTTCTCCTTTAAAATCCGCACAAACCCATATTGCATCATAAACGTGACTGTATTTCAGTTTTAAAAAAAAGAAATTTGTTTTGTTAATTCGTAAATACTTGCTCACGTAAGTGCTCGTGTAGAAGTCGATTTGATCTACGCTTTAATTTATTTATATCAAAACAAAATTTTTGATTTTTTATTTATAAGTATTTATAAATAAAATTTTGTGAGATATTTTAACATAAAATAATCGTCAAGTATTAGAAATTTTTAAAAATCTATGTCTTTTTAAGATATTTCTTTAGTAATATTTTCATTTTTTTGTTCCTGTTAGGTCAGTTTGACTTCCGTATTGACGGAGTATTTATATGACGCGAGTATTTATAGCAGCTATATACGAAATAATGTAAAATTTATTTATGCGAATCTAATTACAAGAAAACTACTAACAAGAAAACATTTTGGCAGCAAAATCTATTTTTCTCTTTTTCAGTTTCTCAGTTTTCCCATTTTCGATTCCTTCGTATCGTTGGTCACTCATGTTCTCTATTTACAATAGAAAAACCAGTTGCGTCTTTAAAAGCAATGTTGCACCTTCAAGCGCGTGTAGCGTGATTTCCCGCGATTTCCGACGTTAAAGTCGTCCAATATCAAACTTGTATCATACAATGAAGGTTGAAGAGACAGTGAGAACGCGAACTTAACGACGCTGGTAAGGAAACCGGATCGGTTCGACTGCCTCGGTGATACGAAGGCGTGTTGTCCAGATCGGGTCCACTTGTTGCAAGAAGAAGGGCTCAGCAAACGCGTACGATAAATAATGACCAGCGGATACGCATTTATCAAAATACTATTCGATACGGATGGACGCGCAAGCGTGCGTGCCGAGTGTAAATGAGAATTCGCTATTCGTCGTTCCGGAGTTGAAGCAAGATAAAGACGCGACGAAGCTTAAAGCACGAGATTAGAGACGGCAAAGTTACAGGAATAACAGAGTAGATGTTACCTTGCGGTGCAACACTATGCAACACGGTGCATTTACTATGCAACAAATCTATAAATTAGAACGCGGAATATGCTACCTGGAGGAATCTCATCTCGTTGAGTGAGTTAAGTATTGCGAAGCATTTTCAACTCCTTTCCACCAGAAACCTGATCCTTTCGACGAAAATAAATATTAGCCATGTCTAATCAAACAGATGAATATGCAAACAGATGTAAATATTGCGAGGATAAATAGTCGCTATTCTTTTTTATGTTTGTGTATATCTTTTCTTTGGACACAGTTTAATAATGTTGATGGAATTTTTAGAAAGTCTAAGAGAAATTCGCTTGTGGATTTTTATATTCATTTCTATAATTAAAACTCCATCGGGATTAAAAAAGTATCTCATATTAATTATAAAAAAGACCTCGCATTATATGGAAATTTATAATTATATGGAAATTTGAGTTCCAGTGAAATGAATTAGTTTTCATATATACAATGCATAATAACTCTCTAACTTTTTTGCAATAAAATCTCACTGTAATGAGTGAAAATTAAGTCAGTTTCGAAAAAGGCTTAATATATCTTTAAAAGTGAGGTTCTACCGGAGTGAGAATCACTCTAAAAATTTCAGAAAGAATATAGATTATAAATACAAAATGATGTTATAGAAAACAATATCATAAAACGACAAAAATAAAACTCTGTAAACATAAATTTTTGATACATTTTTGATATACGATAATCCAAAAACTATTTATTACTGAAGTCTTATAATTATAATATCTTTATAATCGTATACTGAAAATTAACTCATTTCACCAGGATTTTCCATATAATTAATCGGGGTTCTTTACAATTAGACTAAGTAAACAAAAAATGGTCTGTTCAATCGAATTATAGGCTCAGTGCAACAAGATCATTACCAACGAATTATGTTTTTATTAAATAACGATTTCGTCATTATTTGAGACTGGAGTAGAACTCCAGTGCGAGCGCATTGTGATTGATAACGCCGCATTAAGAATCCATTATCTGAGGAAGACGATTGTACTTATGATAATTAGCTGTATTATTTCAACTGTATTGCAACATTGCCCGGCGGCGATCGGGGTGTGGTTGCGATCATCTTTCCCGATGGGGTAATTAAGTCTACGTCTAACTACAAGTAGCGCGGCCATTTATTAGCGAAGTACGGCACTCCGTCATCGCAACGTTGCTATTAAGTGGAAATGCAATCGATAATCCCTTCGAACTTCTTGGTGGTTACAGGTACGTTAGATAAATTAGCTACACTGATTTTGTTTCGGTCAAATATTTGTTCACCAGCAATAACTCTGATTTATTGTGTGTATCGCAAGGTAACGTAGATATTTGCAGATATGGCGCTTTACGAGGCACATATATGAAGCAAATTCTCAAATATTTTAGAAGAAAAAAAACAGCTTAAAACAATTTATATTAATGTAACTCTCGATATAGCTAAACGTATAACGGAAATATTTAAAGGTAGAGAGATAGGAAATAAATAAAATAACGTGGATCTGAAATATATTATCTACTTGTTTTATTGATAAGAAGTTGGCCCATCATCTATAATTAATATAGATTCTACCTTCGTTGGAATAGAATCATATATACTTGAATAGTATAGCAATTACAGCGCAATATTTTTCTAACAAAACCTCTTTTAGTTGCTTAAGAAATATTGAAGAAGGAAATCTTATTCTTCAAAATTAATATTTGATAAATTGAGTGATTACATTGGTGAAGAAAGATATTAAAGATTTAGAGAACAAAAGGCAATTTTAAAAAATAGAGTGAGAAGAAAATTTCCTCCTCCACACAATATCATTTATATAAGCAATTGAAAGATGTTAAGAATAATACATTTCATTAGTAACTATTCACGCATTGTGTGATTCTAACAAAGTTAAAATGTGTATTAAAAGCAACTGATAGACCAATCTCTTATAAAATAAATAGTGTATTTCCCAGATGTTCATATTATTTTATAATAATATTTTATAATAATATTCCTATCTCGATCTTTATTTGTATATTTATAGATTTATATATATAATTTTGTAGAACACGCGGCATTTTCTGTGAACTTATATCTCCCTTTAATTACCCTGTGTTTGTTCCACCTCAGTTTAAACGAGTTTTTGTAGATTTCACTTTCGACCGTAATAATATTAATGGAGATAATAAAGACAGCTTCCTGTATTTTGTACAAAGCGCTGCTGTTTCGTAGTTTATGAAAAACGCGTGGAAGTCGTGAAACAGGTAATAGCGCGTCGCGGCCCGCATAATTTTCAATTTCAGCCTGCCCTTCCCTGCAATCAGGCGCGAGGAATCCCACGACTTAACCGACGTACAAAAAAAAAAGAAAGGGTAAAAGCATCGTTATGTCGAAAAACGAGCTCGCGAGCGCTGCACGCTCAATCTAACGTTCTTGTCGCGTTTCGTATCTTGACAAAAAGCTGAACAGTTCTTGTGGATGCTGCGCCACTGGACGTCCATGCTGGGGCACTTTTAATGGTACCGATGCGAGCAGACAGGCCTCTGGTCCCCCTTTCGCCATCCGCTCAACCGGACACCGACTTCGGGTCCGAGGACCTCCGGACCAAACGGGGTTTGGTTCACGCATCTGCATATAAATCATTGGCCGGACAGGCTTAAGAAACCAGCGGGCTACAATGCCGACTCGCCAATAACCGCGAAACATCGCCTTCAGTTTCTTCCGAGGGTACCACTAAAAACAGCTCCCACAAGACAGCACCGCCGCCAGGCACGAGGAAGAAGAGCAAAAAGGATATCAAGAACCGGGAGAGTACGGGCTGACGCGGAATGACTTCCTATCGCGTGAGTTCTCGCACACCGTTTCACTTCAGGACGCGATTGGAATCTTCGCACAGTAATAGTTTTGTGACAAATACCCTAATTTCCAGGGCTTCTTCCAGGAAAATTTAAATTTAAGATTTAAAAGTTTTTTACCTTAGCCTCTAAAGTCTCCAATTGCGCCATCCTGGGTTCCAATAGCTGCTGCTGCTGGGCACCAACTCCGGTGTGTAACGCGGTCTGAAACGATTATTTATCAGATTAAAGTATTAATTACAGTAAATGTATTAATTTTTATAAATCACAATTTTCTATTTACACTTATAAATTTAATTGTCACTTATATCAATTTAATAAAAAAATACATGCGAGAAATAACGTGTTAGAAAAAATATTGATTAATGGAAAATTTAATTATAAATTAACCCTTTCAGATTTAATTTTAATGGTTAAACAAATTTTGTTTAAGTTCAATTCAAAAGCATTTTGATAAATAATTTATACTGAAAATTTTTTTTTCCAATTCTATTTTTCAACTTTATTATGTACATCTAATCTTAATGATGTCGATAGAACCAAATGATTTTAATGAATAATGTTTTCAAATTTGATACATATCGATCGTAATGTACAGAGAATGTAAAGGAGTTAAAGAAATAATAATTTAAATATTTTTAAAAACTATTACAAAACAATAAGATTTATTTCATTTTTTCTTTCACACAACTTTGCTTTCCTTATAGTAATTTCATACAGTACTATATGAATATTTATTTTTATGATTATTATGTGTATCTGTAAATATACAGTAATATAAAAAGAGCATAATAATAAACCGTGAAGAATTGTTTGACTTCTTTTTTTTTGCCATTAACAAGAAACTCTATGATCGAAGGCAAGCTTGATATCTCTCCCCTGAGCTTATATTTGTATACTAACTCACGATATTTGATATGACCCTCAAGATATATTATATACATTCTATATTCACCAACCACGCCATTGTAAAAGGTTTCGCGTTGATCTTGGTAATAAAAGAAGGAAAGTTATTCGCAAACCGCGACCTTCCGAGTCTTCATCGTCGGCGTAAGCTAATACCCGTGGCGGCCGTAACATTTTCTAAGGACAATGAGATTTCAACGACGAGAGAGAATACTCGTTGCGGATTATTACGATAATTATTATTACCACCGCACTTGTCAGCCATGGCTGAAATCGAGAATGCATACCATCTCTCTTCTTATTGACGCGAATGTGTGGTATTTTAAACATACAGTGTAATTGATACATGCAGAGCGCCATTGGCAATATTCACAGATTTTAATCGTAATTTGAATTAAATTAATGCGTAGAAACGTACGATATGCTCATAGAATATATTAATAATTTAATAATAATTTGCATAGATCTGTATAAATCAACTTATGGAAATAACAATAATAATGATCACGATCTGTATACATCAATCTATGGAAATAACAATAATAATGACCACGTCTCAGAAAATATTATAAATTTAATATTTCTTTAGGAGCATTTATGCTTGCACTTTATAATAATAATAAGTAATAATTTTAAAAATTCTCTATGAGCAATAATATTTCTATTATGAATTGTATTAACATCTTTTTAACACCATTTATATTTGCAAGAGAAGAAATTATCAGCGAATGGAATTTCTTAAATGTGTCTTATAGGTATATCTTCATTACGAAAACTTCTTTTGAAAAATTATTTTTCGCTCTCTTCTCAAAATTTTTTAATTTCGCGCATCTCTTACTCAAGAAAGGAATACAACCAAAGCGCAATCATACTTGGCGATTCCACAGGCGATGGAAAGCAGCTTTGCGGTTACCATAGGCAACTCCAACGCAGCGATTACGATTAAATAAAAATTGTTCAAGAAAATAGTCGAGATAATGAGTTGACGTACAAAGCTCAGACGCCTTTGCAATCTCATCTAACATTAATTGAATGTTTCGCAACCAAAGTGTTAAAGATTAGCTTTTATTACACTTCTGAGCTTAGAGATACAGGATATTTCGCAAGCTAACCTGTTCTAAAGTTTTCTCAGAAGATAGAGAAAATATCACTGAGACAATAACCACCTTTAAAACACAGAAAATGTATTGTGAAAAATATCACTTTAGGTTATTTTGATTAAATATAGTCTTCTTCCCTAACACATACAGTATTGAATATTTCTTGGTTGATTTTCATTTAATATTGAATTTTTTTTTCATTATCATCGAGAAATGATTTTTTTTCCAAAAGTTTTTGATTTTTTTAATTTTCGCTAAATATTCAAAAAATAAGAGAACATTATTTTCTTTTTCGCGCTTTATGATGGAAAAAACATCAATCACAATGTACGTGACTCCGAACTTCATCGTTTTCTATAAGTTTTCTGCGAATTGAGCGAAAGAACTTTATGCCACCCACGACGTTATTAACTTCCCGATTTCTGTTCTCGGTTCTATGTCTTTCGTCTTTGCAGGTTTTATGGAGTTGTGTAAACCAGTCGTCAAATGAACTAGTAACGAACCTTTTCGATTCTTCTTTAAACTGGAAGGTATTCAACTCTCTAATCTATCAGCGCCTGAGATGAAACTAGAATTGAAAAGTGTCGTGTCAGCTTAACCGTCGACGAATTTTATTTGCCGTTAACTGTGCTAAACTTGTTATTTTGATTGCAAGCGTGGTTATTTAACGATACCGCAGATCTTATTTTATACAAAAAGCAAGACGCTGTTTTAGATGAATTTCAAAAAATAATTCGTTATTGCTCATTTAAATTTTTTCAATAAACGCAAACTAATCATATAAATAATATGACGTAATTAAAATTCTTTACGGAAAATATGATTTTGCGCTAAATTATTTAAAAATTTAGCTAAATACAAATCTGAAATTTTATCAAACTATCAAAATAATCATATAGACCACTCAAGCTGTTATTAGAATGTTAAAATTTTTTGCAATATTGCTTATCATTGAGAAAATTTCCTACATAATTATTTTCAGTTTAACAAAATTATTTTCAGATCTGTATATAGCTTTTTTAGATACTTCAACAAAACTATTCTTTCCATGTACATCTCAAATATTTTTTAAAAGAAAATGATTAGTCAAATTATTATCTACTGTCAGATAATGCGCACAGAATATTTTTCGTTCTGTTTATGTTTGAAACAAAACGTTAGAAATACAACGTGACAATTTAACATGACAACAGTAAATCCGTTCGGTTTCGATTTATGATTTCAACTGTTTATTATATCAGTTTTATGAATTTTACCATTTAAATTAAAATGGTAGAATAGAATACATCAGATTTGTGATATATATGCCAGTAGAGACTTTCGATAACCAAACGTGCCAAAATTTATGAGCGAAGTTTTGACGTTGTGAATCGTGATAGCCAATCTCTCTCGCTATTCGTCACTGTCGGAATGTAATGTACGCATCGCATGCATCATATTCTGCGACACATATGCCACAGTTTAAAGCTCTTAATGTTCTTTATGACAAACTATTTTATCAAGGGCATTTCGTCCAAAGGCATTCAATCTATCTAATAATATACATTAAATTTGGAATAAAGTTATACGTAAAAAATAATGACATATATAATTTTATAAATAACATAATTTAGTAAATTAATATAAAATTGATAAATCTGATAAGACAAAGTAATTAGCAATAATTACAATTGTTTTCTTAATAATTATTAACAAAACTGTTTGCAATGTTGAGTTTATTTTTAATTGATTCGCTTCTTTTAATCAAAAATTTTAATGCAAAAGTCGTCGTTAATTAAAAAGAACACATGTTTCTTCGTTGAACGCCATAATTTTTAATCGTTACATGCACCACTTATGGTCACTAACGACGACCACGTGATTCTGCTAGTCACTGAAAAAGAAACGAAATCGAAAGAGAACTCGTAAAAGAGACAGAAAAGAATTAATGTTCTTCGAGTTGTACCATTAAGTGCAACATTTCGCGACAGGTCACATTTACAAGCAAATGAAAGTACGTATTAGTGACAAAGAAATGAACCAGAAAATAGAAGAAAGAGTATTATTGAATATCAATGTCATAATTAATAAAGTGACAGCCTGAAGGCTTTTAGCGATTTTCTAATTTCATATATTATATATTTTATATGTTAAATATATCACTCATCTCCTATAACAATGACATAATTAAACAATTGTCATTTTTTAATTACTTGCACAAAAAAATAAAAAAAAAATAGGAAAAGCATACTTCAAAGGAAAAATATACTTTTACTCCTTTATAATCAATTATGATACACCAAAATTGCATTTCAAAGTTAATATTACATATAATATTTAATATTACATATAATATTTTATATTAATTAAAATTTAATAATTCAAAACTTATTTTTTAAAAATTTTGTTTTAATTATGTCGTTGTTACAATAAATAAACGATACATATTAGGATTAATCTAGATTATTGTATGATGTCAATTAGGCTTGTCAAGATTATTTTTATATTCACAGTTTCGACGCAGATTTTATACGGTGTCGTCGCACATTTTGGCGAACAGGTTGGACGGAACGGGGTTTTTACGAGCGGTTTTGTTGCTCCGATTCGTCGGTAGTCAGCACATTGTGCTTTACGCCGCCGATGGAAGGCGCGGTTTTGCGGTCGTTTGCCGACGGCTTCGAGGGCGTCCACTACATGTTGAGAATAAATAAAAAGGAAAAGGAGGAAAACTGCGGGAAAGGGAAGACGTAGGCGAATAGGTGCGTACACGCCTCGTCTTTTAAAGGCCGCACATTCGCAAGAATACCGGAAGAAACGTCGCAACCGTGAACAGAAGGGAAGTAATGATGCAATGATATGGGAAACATAATAAAATGTATATAAATAATTAAGTGTACGATAACGGTAATTTTTATAAATATTTAATGAAGGGAGAAAGGAAGAAAAATAGACGTAATTTATCTGGATCGACGGAAGTAATTTAATTATTCTAATTGAATAATTTTTTAAGTGGAATTTTCTATGTGTGAGAGCAATTTAGTGATCCTGATTAAATTACTCTCACATAAAAAAATTCCACATAAAAGTTATCAATTATTTATTATTAAATTATACTTCAAAATTAAATTGAAATAAAATTTCGAAAAAGAATTTTTACTTTAAAAAAGAATTTTTGATTTTTCCAAGTTTATCTTTTAAAACTCTTCAATTTTCATTATC